CACGTTCGATCACTGTCGCCTAACTTCCACAGAATTTACTCTGTCGCGAGTCTGAAAGAATTCCGAATTCGAATTCGGCAGATCAGAGTGAGAATGGCAATCATCTAGAACTCGGTTGGAATTCGTTCGGTACACGACGGATTGGCACGAAATTCGCGCCAAGTTAACTTAAGTTCAAGATTTAGATTTCGAATTCCCGAGCAATCTCAAGGATGATCCGTATCGATTGGAATAACGACAGGTATCTCGACGCCACGATCTGCGCCGCGATTCGTTTTGCAAGTTTCACTCCTCTTTGTTCGTCGCCATCCTCGGTCCTCGTATTCTCGTTTCCCCCCTCGCCGAAGACGTCGACTCCAGTCGACACGTCCGGTGCATTCAAACGATTGAAGAGGAAACTCGCGGTCGCTGATCACGCACGCGACTTCAAGATCACTCGCCCGTCATTCTGACTCGCGGCTCGTTATTCACGCTACGTTTCACGCGACGATTCTCTTGTGTTGAACGGACGGAGCCGGTGCGTCCGGATTTTCATTAACGAGAAACTCTCCTTCAAATGGCTACGTCTGCTTACACGTCTGATCACACTTTCAAGAATTTCTTTGTCTGTTTCTTCCCTTTCTCTCTCTCTCTCTCTCTCTCTTTCCTTCAATCGTTCTATTTCTAAATTCTATTTTGTTTCCAACGTGTCGACATTTGGCTAGACACCAGCGTCGTATAATATCGTCGTAATTCACGTTCGCGTTAATTGCGATACAAGCGGCAAGTCTAATTCGTGAATGAAATTGCGGCTCGCAGGCGTCTAGCAGGCGTCTTCTTTCTAGAGAACACTCGGCGGCAGACATCTCAAGGTCTTCAGGTCGTTTACCACCACCTGTGCCGCCGGCTTCGCAAACCGGAGCATTTTTACGCGGAACGCAACCCTTTCCACTATATTCCGTCCGTGTTTCTCCAATGTTCCACCACGAAAAGATACATCTTTTCTTTCTCCTTTGAATCCTTCGAATATCCGATATAATATCGAAACGTTGATCACGAATTTTACGTTTTAGCAAGTATATGAAAGAAATTGTCAAATTCTACGTTCGTTCGAGAATTCCAGTATAATCAGAAGGCTATTTTTTGCGCGCAAAAGAAAAAAAAAAAAAAAAAAAAAAGGAGAATAGCTCGGACAGAGTTATTCGAGCGAAATTTCCACTAACTTCGCGTTAGCCCCGCGGAAACTACTGTGCCTAAACGAAACCGGTCATAATTTGTAAGTAAGTACAGTTAACCAAATAGACGTAGAAGGTCGATGAACTCGCACGGTACGTATCGTGTGAACACGCCACTTCTCACAAAGTACAGAGTCACTCGGCGAAGCTGGCTAAAACGAACAGCGTCGCTGATGTATACACACGCACGCACGTACACACGCCAGAGAGGTAATAAATTAAAATCGCGTTAGAAAATGATTTATAACGAGCGGCAGCGAACACAATCGACCGGTTCGATGTGACGCTGCAAACTGATGCTACAGTTCTTTTTTTTTCTTCTTCTTTTAGCACGATCGTATCGTAACGAATCTCACGAGGCTTAATTAACGGGGAAGAGAAGGAAAGAAAGCGGGACACAATGAGAGACGGTGGATCTAGACGCTCGTAGAAATTTCGATTTGAAATTCTCAGGAACTATAGAATTCGATGTGTATGGGAATTCGACGCACGTCGCCGAGCGCATTTCGCCTTCCGCTTCGCGACACCGATCCGCGTAATTGAACGAATAAAAAAATATTCATAGTTGTTGCCAGGCATAACGGTCCGAGCGACCGATGCTAAAACGGAACACCCGGTAGATTAGAATTCACGGGATGATTTTTCCCGCGTCTGGGGCTGCCATTTGTGGCCTGGTCGGAAGTCAATGGCGGAGACGTGCCTCGATGAGATAATACGAGGGCAAGAAAGGAGTTTTGTTTTTTATTCGTCAGTTGACTCTCTCGAGGATGTTCGATCGCTTTTGAGACAGTTGAATTGATCTGTCCTAAATAAACAGAGTAACATCGAGTAACATAATTTCGAATTCATTTGGCTGGTCTGTTCAGCCGTATCGGAATGCTGCGCGGACAATTGTCAACACATTGACAATCTGAATATTCTCGAAACGATCGGGATAAGAACGGCATCATCGACAAAGAAATTTCGAGAATTTTCACACAATATATAAAGAATGCACTCTTGTTAATTAAATATTCCATTTCACAGGCAAAGCGTGTAAATTTATTGATAGTCGACGTGTTAGGAATATAAATTGCAAAAGATTCTATCTGCAGATTTAGTAAGCAGAAATTTTCATGATTCTTCTTGGAAAAGCGAATGCTTCTTCTCTGAATGAATAATTTAATCACGAATTGAACGAAATTCGAATTTACAGCTCAAAGAATCACGACGATTCAGCTAGACGGCGTGCAATACTTCGTGTCAAGGATGAATCCCTACAGCCCCGAGCTGAACTACTTCCTGGCCTATCAGTACTGTCGTTCGCTGGGCTTGCAGTTGGCCTCTTTCGAGACCAAGGAAAAAGCCGACACGATGACGCAGTACTTGAAAAACGCCGGCTACGTTAAATACGACTTCTGGACATCCGGTAATAAGTTGGGCACGGACATGTTCCTGTGGATGAGCACCGGTCTTCCGTTCAATGCCACCTTCGACTACATGCTGAGGCGACCTGGCAACAGACCTGCCGACGTTCCACCCGGTACCGAACCTCAACGAGTGGCACGCGAAAGGTAATCACTAACCTGCACCGTTAAAACTTCCAAACCAAAATCAATCCATAGATTACTTTGTAACAACCTTTGGAATTAAGAACCTTATCCTATAACCTTTCGAGATAATAGTCTCATCAGATTGGAACGATGTAACGTAATTCTTCGTTGGAGAAGAATTCCACGGACAAAGAGAAGCAAGCACTTGAAAATTAAAGGCTCTGCCAGACTCTGTAGACTTTCGAGAACTGGATCTTCGATCTCTATAACAATCGTATAAACAAGAAAACACGCGCACGTTAAATATTAAGAAAGATATTTTGAAATTCCCACGCTCGGGTAACTTTTCGAAATAATGTATCCGTTTGTAAAAGAAAATCTTGCGTCGACCCTTCGTTTAAAAAGTCCCATCAGAACCGGAAAAATGCTTCGCGTTGGCAAAAGAGAGGAAGCAAGCGTCACGTATTTATGTACCAAGTAGAAGAATCAGGCAAGCAGAAGTGCATATAATGAAGGCTCTTTCTTTCTTTACGTCAACGAAGACAATAGGTCGAAGATCGATCCGCCGTCACGAACGATAATTATCCCTTCCGGAACTTCTGTGTCTCTCACCCGGAAACGCGTGCGCCGAATCGGTAAACGGCCGACAACGGGGTGATTTTAAATTCTAATTCGGAACTTGCTCGGTTTCAGCGGCGACAGCGGCAGCGCGGACGGATGCGTGGCGATGGCGGCACCGACGTTAGCCTGGGAGGCTCAGGATTGCACCTTGGTTAAGGACTTCATCTGCGAGCAAACGAGATGCTACTACTACAACTACGGCAGCATTCCAGTCTCTGCGACTCAGGGGTAAGAGGTGAGATAATACTTGTCACAAAAAATACACGAAACCGCCGAGAGAATGACAGAAAGAGAGAGAGAGAGAGAGAAAGAGAAGACGAGATAGGCTATCAGAAGACTTTCAACTTGTGTACTTAAAGGTGAATCTTGATGGCGCACGGACAAAAAAATAAGAGGAACGTGGGACAGAGATAAGATAATAAGACCGCTGGAAGAGACACGATAATTGGCGACATAGACCGACTCATGCGCGATCCTTGTAGCCGTGTATTTACGCCGGGGGATTGGTGGTGGTTTTCCAAACGATTTTACGCGGACAATTTTACGACCACGACGATCTTACGTCCCTTCGTATGCAAATTAATCGGGCGAACGCGGCCTCCGATACGAATGCTTGTTAATTGCGGACAAGACTTCTCGTACGTTAATTAAATTGGTGGTCGTAGCAACAGTATGGTCGTGTTGTGTGTCCACACGGTGGCTAACGAGTCGACGAAGTTTTTTTCTCCGTGCAGAACATGCAAATTGATGAAACGAACTGACTGACAAATAACTTTTATGGCTTTAGTGGATAATATAGAACTGAGTAATTGATAAGATAGATATGGTACTTGGGAAACTGTTCGACATTCTTTGCTGTCGTTCGAACGTAAACTGCTTATCGCTCCCGTCACGAGAACACGAGAACACAGCTTCTTGTAATTAATAACACATTCTCTCGCTTCTCGCAAACGTCAGATACACGACACACACATATTTCAATGTGAAAAAGCGTGGACACTACTGATTAAAAATCAGATAAATTGAAATTTATAAATCTCAAACTATTTGCACTGACTGTTATTCTTAGCCAGCAGTAGTAGTGTCACGCCTTTTTCAAACATTTCTCATAATTTTAACGCCATAACGAAGTAAATATATACTAATATGCCAACACACGACAGGGCACACAACAAGTGACTATCACAATTATTTCTATTCCAAATAACAATCCTCTCCAAATCTCTTCGCTTTGCCTTCGTCAAACGAGACGATAACGTTCCCCTGAAACCGGAATATCGTTTCCAGAAATCGCAGACCCTATATAACAACCACATCGGCGCCAGCCAGCGACGACCACGACCAGATCGACGAGCACGAGGAAAGCAACGCCAGCAAGAACGACGAGCAGAATCAGGGCAGCATCGACGAGAAATTAACAGAGGAAGAAGAGGAGAGCTCCGTCGACGAAAAATCACCCGAAGACCCGGTCGTCAGCAGGCTGATTACCACGGCCGTTCCCGCGTCTGACAAGCTACAGCAACCCGCCCTACCACCGTCCACGTCCTCGCCAGTCGTCATCGAGGATCACGAACAACCTGCCAACGTCGAACTCGACAACGCAAGACCCGATCATCTTCCTGACATCACGAGCCTCTTTACCGACCCTCCAGGCCCGCAAGCGAGAAAAGACAACGTGTTCGAGGGCCTTCAAACCCGCGAGGTTCATCGTTCCTCTCTACGTTCGGCCTCCGACATGAAGGTCGAGCATCGAGAATCACCGGACTATTTCGAGGTCCACGGCGAAACCGAGTCGCCGAACAACGGCCTAGAAGATACTCATACGATCGGCCCGTACGACAGCGTGCAAGATTATTACGTGAACGATCAGCCCGAGGTCGGTGAATCGTCGATGATGAAGGACCAGGACGACGACAGCAGCACGATCCTGCCAGAAGCGGAACCGGCCTACAGGTACAACATCAAAGTGCGCACCAACGGCAAAGTATTAGACCCTCCGTCCAAGTAACGCTTTACAATTTAGGCATCGCGTTGTTCGTTGATAAGTGAAAGAGAGCATGGGAGATTCTCGAGGAACTAGATGTATTTTTTAATACGTTATTGTACGTTATGTTTAATGTGTAATGCCGCGGACATCGGACTGCGTCACGATCGTCGGGGCTCTTTGGGATCGACAGAAGGAAGACTTTTTTTTTTTTTTTTCTAGATCGAGTCTCATTTCACACGGAGATGTTTTTATATCGAACGAGGTCACGAGAACGTTTGATCTGTAATTGTTGAAAGTTCAGTTATTTAACTTTATAGAAATTATCGAAACGATTTGCTCAAACGCACGCACACTTGGAGGCGAGTCTTTTCCTTCTGGCGTCGATCTCCGACGATAGCCGACGTTGTTCTCGCAAGGGCATTTACTCCACCGATCGCATCGACAGTGGCACCGGCGGACATATCGCATCCGCGCGACCTGATCGGTCGCGTCTCGATTCTTCTATATCTCTTCAGCAGTCTTTTTTTCTTTTTTTTTTTTTTTTTTTATCAGAGCACGTATCCATTTAAGCGCTATTTGTCTCTCGTAGATAGTAGATGATAATAAACGCGAACGTGAGGACTCATCTGCGTGGGATCTCAGGCATTAAGCTAGTACAGGAGGAAACGCACGGTGAAGCTGCATTATCGTTGTTCTTATGGCTAACCGAATCATCATTGGTGTAGGGTTGGGAGTCTGCCAGTGCCACGAATCTTCATGCATACCGATGTATAATCATCTTTAGTTAACGTTATTCGTACGTCTGCAAGATGAAACGTTTCGTAGAAACCGATCGATTTCGCCCTGATTTTCTTCCTCGATGTCGATTCATCTTCAATCTTAATTTTCACGTTCGGAGAAGTTAAAACAGAGAGAATGTTAAAATGTTACTCGAGGCCTACCATACGCGCGAATCACAACGTTTCTGTCATCCAGACGTATGACAATCGGCATACGCGTAGATCCAACATTCACGAAATGCGAATTTTTTCTAACTGCTACGATGATAAATCATCGATGCATGGATCTTGAATATCACTGCATAAACACGGCGCGAAATGTGCAAAACTTTGTGTAATTGAATATTTTAATAAAGGTACGAAACACATTCATTCAGGTATCGAGTTCGAACTTTTGTCATCCTTCAAGAACAAGTATCGTCGTGGAGAATCACTTACCAACCGTTTACCACACCCTCGATGTTCAGCATTGGCACTATTTTGAATACGTAATCGTCTCGCAAACCGGCTATATAAGGGTTGCTGCTCAACAGCGCCTCTAATGTACCATCCATCACCCACGAAGCATTGCTTTCACCCGGATGAACCCTCGATGTCAGAAATATCACTTTACGGTTCTGGAAGAAGAGAGAAAAAAAAAACGTACTTGGAAATCCATTAATCTCTTCACCAGAGTATCATACATGTGAACAATTTCACATGTCATGATGCTAAAATTTTAACTTAAGTTCCATCGATTAAGGAATAATTATTTTCCATTGTTCTGAATCCTGTCAAAGAGTTAACATTCCCACATAATAAAATCAACTCCATTTATTTTCCGTCATCCCCCAAAAAAAATCATGCATTTTCATCATCTCTCACCTGTATAGGGTTGCTCTTCGAATCTAAGGACGTAATAGTCAACAGAGGATTGTTATTCCCATTCAACGTTTCGCAAAGTGTCTCCGCTCTGAAATATGTGTTCGGAGAGGCCCGCCTGGTCCACTTCCAGATGTTCGTCATTAACAGGCTGTACGTGTAAGGGAAGTGATACGCCAGGTAGCAAACGTCGTACGCGTGAGGAAACGTGACAGTGAACGAAGTGGTCAGATAATTCTTCCCTTTGGTCGGTCGTTGATAACAATTTCGATAGTAGCAGATATCAGCGCCCGTTCTCACCCAGCCTGGCCTTCCCAAATGTGCCTCCGTCACGCTGAAGAGAATCGGTTTCATACCGAAGTTGAACTGCGAGTTCGCCTTCTCGCAGTTGATGATGTTGAACGTGTAGGACAGGTTCGCCTCCATGTTCGACACCTCGAAATAGAACCACTGGTGCCTGGAACCACTGTTCACGTCCGGCGTCAAGATCAGATCGTACTCTCTCGGGCCTATCTGCAAGGAAGCGGATTGGAAAGAAACGATGCGGATTCGCCGCGGAACGGGAGTATCGCTTTTTGGTAAATCAACCCTTAAGTGGATCACTTGTCATTTTAAACTAACAGTCATATTAATTTTTATTTTCGTTATTCGCGAAACGTCTCACTATGTTTTTAACGCAGTACAGGAAGATTTATTTCTGTTCACCGATTTAGTATAAATTAAATACAAACTTCAATTATTAAACTAGAAATCCATTTGAGAATTTAAATGTACGCACCCTCGGCCATATCACATTAGAATATCCATTCGTTACATTTATTGAAAAATTCCAATGTTTTATCTAAACGTAAGGTATACCTGTGTTTGAAAGTATTAGGAAAAGTTCTATTTTCTTAATTAAAATATAAATTCCCGTGAGAATCTCTGGTCCAGTAATTAATTACATTCGAAGAATCATTTCATAGAAATATGTTTTGTTTAAAGGGACCACGCAGAGGGTGGTTCGGAAAACAAATTTGCAAACGCAACAACAGTATCCTAATGTCCTACTAATGGCCGACAGTGTCACGTGAATTATCGCTGTATATTACGAAATATTCATAGAGTTTACCTGAATAACTTTCCTTAGGTTGCCGCTCTCGAATCGAGACTCGAAGTGCAGCTGTTTCGTGTCGGAGGAACGTTTGCCTATTCTATTCTCATCCCAGTTGCACAAGTGATTATCAACCGCAGTTTGTTCGTCACTGTTACTGGAGGCTACAGCATCGAGATCGTAGACTACTTCTTGAACCAAGGTGCTGCCGTGAAGGCCTCGTTCCACGCATGTGAGAAGCTTCGATCGACAGATCTTCCTGTCCTTGTTGTTCAAAGGCTCGTCCTTGCCAAGGCCATCGCCACCGATTAAATCCGGGTAAGCCACCTTCACAAAACCGATCACGCTTTTCACTCTGCTCGCTATCACGCAATAAGCCTGTTGATCCGTCAAGCTCGAGCACATGTTGTCGAAGATTTTGATTGCCGTGTCGTTATTCGTTGTTTGATTCCTTGCCGCCCCATCTTTTATCGGATCCTTCGCGAACGTTTTCGTCTTGCTACCGCACACTTTCGCGTCCGTCGTATCGGTTAACTTTTCTGTCGAATTCTTTGCCGTGCAAACTTGGTTCTGTAGGTTGAATTCTCTGAAGAAAACGTTGTATCTGGACGTTGCAACAAGAGTCACAGGTATTAATTAAGTTTTCTCTTAATTAAAGGGGAATCTTCTCTCGCGGGCGAATACTTTCGTACTTCAAGGTTTGTAAAATTAACAATTTACCTAATGTAATTGAAGATAAGTGAAAAAGAAAGAAAGTTTGAGAAAAGTAGAGCCGGATCAAAAGTGCCGCAATTTTTGGCTGAATTATAACTGACAAAAGAAACGAAAGGAATAGACCAGTGATTTTAGTATTCATATTAGTATCAACTTTCTTTTTGTTACCGCGTATATTCGTTATATACATGAGAAACAAAGTCACCGTGCCACCGTAGCAAAGATATAATCTCTAAAAGTAGGTCCTCTGTGAAAAATATACGGTTGACGTACTCGGTTAAGTCCTCCTCCGATCTTTGCGAAGTGAACACACCAGCAAAGAACTTGCTCTCGTCCACTTCGTCAGCTGCGTTCATAGTTTTCACATTCGTCCTTGAATTCTGGCTTTCTTCATCGTCGCCGGAATCAAGGTCGCTGTACAGTCTTCCGAGAGAAGCCACGCTACAGGCCTGCATAGAGACGTTTCATTCGTTGAAGATTGCTAACTGCTCGTTAACGTTTTTGTTACTTGACGTTTGACCTGAGAAAGTTCTTGAAAACAATTCCCACGTCAACTCGCATTACGAAATGCTTTATGATCCCATTACGTTTCACCATTCGTTGCATCACTCTGCCTGACAAAAATACACACCTGACTGTCGATGTCGCTGCCACTCTCAGCGCTGTTCGGCCTGACGTTCGCTTCGGGCAGCACGAATCTACAAAAGATACCGTGATTTACATGGTTGTTTATTTAACGTAATCAAAAGTAACTATACTGGAGGATACCATAATAGATGCGAAAATGTACAGAATGTAATATCCTAGTTAAGTATAAAATATAACAAGTATACATTTCAAAGTATTATAGAGAGGCAAAAAAAAAATTGAGGGAAACTCCTCAATTATTATTCTAAATATTATATATTCTTAAACGTGACGATTCTCTTTGACGCCTGATTATTGTTGAGACAACATTGTATAATACTTTAATAAATAAGGAAATGTGTCTCAGTGTCAAATTTAAAGGAATTAATTAACGTTTCAAAATTTGAATCACAACTGAAGATTACAATTTTTATTTTTTTTTTTTTGTTCTAATAACCGTTAACCTAGGTAAACGATAAACTATCGTTGCTAAAAATCGATTCGATTCGATCGATTTCGAGCGACCTCGAGCGTTTCGTTCACCTTGCCGGCGACATTTCAGGCACTGGCAGCTCCTTCTTCTCCAGACATTGATTGATTATCCCGCAAATACGCGACAGCAACGAATCGTACGCCTTATCCTCTGGACAGTAGTTGCAGAACCGGTACAGTAGTTGCAGACCATTGTTCGTCTTGATAGCCTTCCGGCCGGCTTCTGAAACAAAGAAAAAGAAGCCCTAGCGTGTAATGGCGACGTAAAACTACCGCCGGTGGATATAATCGTGGACATAAATTTACATGCGCCATCTTCGTCTCGCAACAAATGGCAATAAGTCGTCAAAAAAGATAGCTAAAGTTGTTCGATCCTCTGAGCACCATCAAGTAACTAACCGATTCGAAAAATAATTGCGCAAGAAAGGTCTATACATGGTGAAATTCCATTAATACAAGCTCTTGATTGTACAAACTTTTAGTTTAATAACCAATTAACTGGGGAGATGGAACTTTAGTACAATGCATCGTAAAAAAAACTAAACAAGAATCGTTCCTATTAACCCTTGAATGTATCGTTGTCTAATTTTTTAATTTTATTACAAATATATTTAAGAAATAAAATTTTAATAACCTAACACAAATTAGAGTCAACTTTATAATTAATTTTATTGTTCATTAATTGTGGCTAATTTTGTATCAGAGTCAATTATCCATAACAATATCACTGATTATCTGAACGAAGAATCACACAAGAATTATCACCGGTGAATATAAGTTATACGATCTACTTGTCATGCAATGAATTCCACAATAAATCAATCAATTTCTTGCTTTTATTCAGGAGTAATCAAAAAGCACGACATCAACGAGCAAAGAGGGATCGTGTTAATCGTGAATGGCAACACGCAAGTTTTTACACCCTCACAAACTTCCGGTTGTTATCGCAATTCGCAACGCTGAAAGGTCGACGCCGAATAAACTCACTTATGACGCATAAGTGCTGCAACGTAATCAAAGCGCAGTTGCAAATCTTCAGTCTCATCGGGCCGTCGAATCGTTCCCATCTTTCGAAGATCCTCATCAACAGATGCACCAGGCCCACTTTCACGAATTTCGTGCAACAAAGTTCTGCAAAACAAAAACACACACATACACGCACGCACGTTCGTGTAAGTAAGTTGTATACTCGGTATACTCGTTTAAATCCCGGCTAATTGCTAAAGTTCGATTCGCTGATGGGATCAGCTCGCGCATCGCTAACGATAAACGAAAATAGGTCTACGTACTGCTCGTTGTGAAATATTTAAAACACTCTAGCAGCAGTCGGAGTTTCAGGTGTGGCATGTAACCGATGCATACGAACGTAATCTCCAGCGTGCTGGCGATCCCGTCCTTCACCAATACTTGAAGAGAGAATGCTGAAAACGCGGCGGACTTAAACAGCTATAAAACATGAAACACAAGGTTTGCGAGGTTGTAGGTATTTCTGTATAGAAACAGGCGTTTCTATATTCTTTTATGCTTTCCATGTGTATTTTTCATACGAAAATAGATATTTCTACAGTTTCTAGGTGTAAGAAATTAGCAAAGTATATTTAATATCGACGTGAGTTTAATAAAAAGTATTTCTATATTTCCTTTAGGAAGTTAATTATACATAGAAAATATGGAAATATCTATAACCTCTTGGCTATAAAAATCTCTCGGGACTCACAGTTTCTGGAGAGACACTTGATGATCAACAACAACGGTAATAGAGTTTTACTGTTGTTGTAATGTTGTTTCAACAGCGTATGGAACACTTTTATGGTATTAAGCATCTTCATCTTTGACACGAATTTCTGGTCCCTTTGGGCTATCTGCGATGTTCGTTGATTAATTGGCAAAATTTATGTCGAACGAAACTGCAAGAGGAACGACCGATGTCTCACCTGTCCCAAAAGCCAAAGCACCTCCTGCGTGAGCACTTCGCTCGAAATAGTGTCCGCGTGTTGCAGGCTCACTAACAGCTTAACTAGAACTTGCGTGATTCCTAGATTGATCAGCTGCATCACCGCCATTCGGCTGCTGGATCCTGCAAAAGACAGCCGATTATCAACATCGATCGATCGTTCTTCAACAGCAATTGCACGATCGATGATTTCGTTTCTTCTCGAACTCGGTTCAAGCAGATCGTTCTGCAGAAGTGCAACTGGCCACTAACTTGCAACTCGGGAGGTTAGAAATTTGCAATTACTTGTGGCACTTTTGTTCTTGTTCCCTTTGGTCTTCCCCTTCGCGACACGGGGTGATATGCATTCGTGTAGTATGCTGGCGATACTGCAGTTTATCACGTGATCCTTGCAATTCTGCGAACAAACGAACCTCACAGTTCCTTCTCGTATGCATCTCGGGTCGTCGTAATTGTCAAAAGGAAACGCGATCGAGAGATATCCAACGCGCGGAAAAGGCCACGGAGATAATTAACCGCGCGATGCGTGCGTGCAACACTTAACAGAAAATAGAACGAACGGATTTCCAGTTTTGCATGCAGCAGGAAGCTCTGTCGACAAGTCAGACAATGGGGACCGAGCGTGGTTGATGCGACCTAGCCACGCCATTTCGTGCAAAATGTTAATCGTGACATGGTTATCCGCACGGTTAATTGGCCCCGCAAAGTGTCGATTGAACATTCCGTGAAAACATTCAGCGGCAGTTCAGTCACACCTCTCGAAAATCACAGATGCGATTTCAAGAAATTAACGTCTTCGAGCTAAATCGTCGACTCTAACGATTAGAAGTTCGATCAGCTCAAAAATTCAGCGAGATTTTTTACTCATAAAATTCGTGTAAATAATTTTCCGAGATGATCTTCTGAACTTTGTTTGACTTGAAAACTAATTTTGTAATAAAGTATAGATACGAGCATCTTGGAATTTCTTCAAAGGATTAGAATTTGCCGATAAAAAGTGTGGAAATATGCTTGGACAGGAAAAATCAAGGCAACTACCCACCTCCAGCGTTGTGATGAATATTTCCATCGCGCCGGAATTCTTGCGCCATAATTTCTCCAGCGTTCGTTCGCGCATTTTCCGATCTGAAAAGTTAATAAGTTTATTAAATTCCTAAATGCTAATTAAATGAATTGTAATTAAAAATTTCCGCAAGGAAAATCGAGCGATTCGTATACTGAGAAACAATCGTTTCTTAATACTGATGCGGCAACAAAGTACGATATGTGCAAATCGTAGATAAATCAATGTTACTTCCTGATACCAAAGGAAATAATAATAAATGTCTGTGTCATAATAAATAATCCGTAGAACAGATGCTAATAACACTGTCTTCCATGCGGTATCGAGCACATTGGACATTAGCAAAATATGTGGCCTCCCATTTCAGACTTGATGCAAGGCCAATTGTGAACAATGCCACGAACACTATTATGAAAAAGAAACTGAATATTTGTGACATTCTGGTGGGCTAAGAATGTTCAACCATATTATTGTTATTCGTACAAAGAATAATTACATAATGCCTTACTCGTTACGTTTTCAATGTCTTCTCTGAAACTGAATCTGTTTCAATCAAACGATCTTTTATTTAAAAGTTCGCACAGCGAATTTACGAGTCTCGTAAGAATGCACGT